CTTCTGCGCCACAGCCTTACATCTTTGCAAAGTGAATATAACCTTACGCATTGCTGAATCAAGTTTCAAGTAGAATTCCACCTGGGGGTCAAAACTTAGCATTCTTGTGATATCCTCCGGGGCGCGAACTGCCGCGTTCAACAGCAATTACCCAATGAATTCGGCTCAGCTCTTCAAGATCGGGCTCCATGGGCATGAGAACACCGCTGATCCATAGGTGAAAAGCAAGGCAGAATGCGCCTATGAGTAAGAAGTCAAACCTGAAATCAAGGTTTTGTGAAATGGTTTATCTCCCACTGGAAACCCAAATGACAAACTTACCATCGCCACCAGAAATCGAAATAATTACGAAATCCGAACCGCGAGAACTGTATATACCGTTCTAGCAATAATCCGATTATGTACAAGTAGCAGTAGGCTTCGATCATTATGCCACCGGCTGAAACTTTACTATTCCAATATTCATTTGATGCATGCAGCAGATGGAGTGGTAGAAAGTTTGACACTGATAACCTTAGAGGGGGCATAAAGTCCCTTAGAGGGGGCATAAAGGGGGGAGTTACTTGTGCAAAGTTGGGCTCAGCGTCATCCGAGTAGAACTGACATACTAGAGATCGCTTCCCCCACCTAAGCTCCTTCATCCACTACAGTTATTCCAGTTTTGCATAGGAAGTCCTATAACTGTCCCTTCAAAGCTGTAAGGTCAAGGCAACGTATGACCGCTGACAGCTCAACGGTAACTGAGGGAGTTCACCCCTAGCGCGCGACAGCGAGCTCCGGCGGCGAGGAGGCATGAGCTGTGGGTCGCTTCAGCGCGTAATTTGCTGGGTATGGGGGTGTTTTGGATTCCAGCTCAGAGAAAATAAAAGAAAGGAGAGGCTTCGGCAAAACTCATAGGATGTTCAGCTACTTGCACTTGCTACATGTGAACAGGTTGCTAAATGTTATAAAAGGGGGAAAGGAAGTCAGAACCTGTGTGGTGGAACTCCAGTAACAATATTTAGAGCAATCCCTGTATAAAACCTTTCACTTACGGTATCCTCTCGGTGTATGAGCTATCTTGGTTTGTTCTCCGACTTTTGCGAAACGAATGACAACCAGGCATATCACGAACGTGGCATAGCTTGACATGCAGCTAATATACCTGGACCAAACTGCTTGTATCGAAATCCTGTTTAGAACGGTGCTGCTTCTCAAGTACTAGGTGGAGCAATTACGAAAGACACCTCGCCAATGGGGAGAACCTCTAGAACTTTTTTACATGCGGTGATGGGCTAGTGGGTGCTCATAACATGTGTATCGGACGCTTGTCTCAATCCATGTATCTTCTGAATCCGTTAAATCGATGTGCTCGGAATCCCAAGGCCCTTGACGTTCAAATTGACTAGTAAGACCGAGCTGTTAAAAGTAAATCATGAGCTATAGAGAAGTTGTTAGTGACGTTGGTCAATAAAACTGGACGATGATTTCTTCTAAGTGACCTTTCATAGCGACGTGCATTTAGGGAAGGACTGGTACCAGTCTTGCAGTCACAGTGATTCAGATGTAGGAAGTTGTGTGCGCAAGCTCATTGCTCTACTACTGCAACGTGTTAAGGGTTTCTTTTTGTTCAGCTTTGAAGAGTTCGGACAAAGAATTCATGGTCCCTTTGCGTAGCGAGAATGGCAGGTGATCTTTACTGGAGAGGAAGTCTATCTCACTCTGTGGATCCTGCGCTCGTGTGTGTGGAGTGAAATGGGTCACAGCTTGCGTCACACTTCCATTCTAAAACTAGAAAGGGGGCAGAGGTGTAATATATAACCTGTAAGGTGTCTCTGTATTCCTTCCCACTTTGCGTATTCACGCACCTATCCATAGACCAAACGGGCTGTTTGCCTGCGCTCTCTCACTTCTTCTCTGCATCTGCTCGTGTTTCGCTGAGGGACCTTAAAAGCGACGCCAGTACTGCACATTAAACAAAGTAGTATGGAGACTCGGGTACTACCACCCCGGCCCGTTCCCGTGCGCCTTTGCGCGAAGGAGTGGCTAGCTCGCAACAGTGGAACCATTTTCTCGCACTACCGGCAGAACGCGGTCCCGGAGGGTAGTGCCGTAGTTTGTCTTCAAGGCAAAGGCGCGACTGTATCATTCCAGAGCACTGAGGTAGCGCTTTATAAATGGTTTGAGAGATCCGGAAGCGTTGGAGCCTTATCAATGTCTTCAGCACGATAGATGAATGTGTCGGCTTGCATTGCAACGACCATCCTGTGTAACGGAGAGCCGTCTGAACTTCGCGTTATTGCTTCATTTTCAGCGAGAATTCAGAGCGCTCATGTATTATGAATGCAGGCGCTTTCATAGTAAACAATGCTCATTATGAATAAATTCCTGGCTTTGTACCTTTACTAGCAACGCACGATACTTACTCCTAAGGGCACGTCGAATGACGAAGCTACTTGTCCGTTGGTGAAAATGTAGAGTAGAGCAAGTACAGGATAAAGGAAAACATGTCGCAGTACTCGATAAGAATCACGGGCTGGATTCGAGCCAAAATTTCCCCAACCTGAGACAAAAACCATATGTAACCATATGTAGGCAATGAACTAGCCCAATGAACGGTGAACACCACCTCGCCACCAGATACAAGACATTGCTCGTTGTACATTGGGATTGCCGGCGAAATGACGCATCCGAGCTTCGAGAGCCAGCTGAATTCTGGGATATGGAGATGCGCATGTTGACAGGGAGCAATGGCATTTCTGAATCATTTTATTTTCATTTCACATCATTTCATTAAGTCCTGCTAACCCCTGTGGGTGAAAAGTGACCCACATGGGCAAGAAAAATGTCCAGTTCTTCCACGCGCCAGTTGTTTTCGATGATACGACACGTGAATCGTTGCACGTTGTTGTAAAGGACGCGATATGTATCCTGGAATATGAGTTGTGTCGAATGTTTTCTTACATATGGATCCAAACGCGCAGTCCACGCTGCTCGTACGGGCGGAGTCAGGTCTGCTGCTACTGACCCTTGTTTACTGTCTGGCCAAAGTAAGCGTACATCATCGAGGGAGTGATAGGAGTTCACCTGACTACGCTCACACGATCAGTAGGGACTCTGAACAAGAGTTTCTACCAGGACAGTGTTCGCTGGGAGTCAGCACTCTTCAACCACACAATCCTCCTTCAATTGTCTCCAAGATTCTTTCCAAGAAATATTTGATAAATTGAATTAATTTTATGACGCTGTTGCCTTTGAAGCCAAAATCCGCACTGCTGTTCCCTTTAAGCCAAAATCCGCACTGATCGTATGGGTAGAAAATGTCAAGCGTTTCGCCTTTGACACTGACGTAACCTTACTTTCTTACCGTGTTAGAATTTCTATCGTCTTCGAAAGGGAGCGCACCAATGAAAAGTGAGCATTCTTACACTGTCTCCGCCCACACGATCGGCGTGCACCTTCTTCGAGATTTGTCATGAGAGGGTTGAGGAATAGGGATCATTTTTTGTTTCGGTACGTTAGTCGTGCGGGCGCTATTCGGCTAAGGGGGGAGGTGTAATATTGTGCCAGTTTCACATCGACGTGGACGAACAGCGCCGTTATACGTACCATGAACTCAAAATTATCGTTTTCCATGCAGAAGAGCGATATCCTGTGAAAGTGAACATGCGGCTGCAAATGGATCGTCGGTAGCCAACCAGAGAAATGCCTCAGAAGATATCGCACGCATTGCGTCTGCCTGAACAAAAAGGAGTAATCAGAGTAACTCTTTCCATCGAAAAGAGAGTAGTTCTGATGAGGCATCCCAACTAGGGCACGCCATTGCCTTTTGGAAATTGGCCACGTCTGCATTTCGCCACATAGGAACAGTTGCAGTACGACCCATCCCCAATCCTGAGGGCATCAGCCATCAGCACTCAATTTTCCGCGAAAGCTGAGCAGGAGGAAATGAAATCCGGAAGTAAAGACGTAAGGTACACTCACAATCCCTGAGTTGCGGTAGGCGTGGCTGCGTACTTGATTTGAATGCGGCGGCTAGGCTTTTCGTGAGATATTTTCATTTTTGAGCAGTTGTAATCATGCCTTTGTCCAACAAAGAACAAGATGACAGTTGTCCCAAATTGGAATATCCCACGAGTAACGCAACCTACGCTGTGTTCAAATGCCACGCTTACTCCGTATTAGGAGTATATGTGCTCATCATTGCAGACCGGTGGGGCGGGTGAGCCGCGCCGCGTGTGACTCG